TAAAAAAACTAACGAAATACGCTTTTATAGAAAATCCAACTAAAAAATAGAAAATAAATTTTAATAAATTTGAATTAAAAAAAAAAATTATAAAAAAATATTTTCTATTTTTTTGTTGGTTTTTCTATAAAAGCGTATTTTGTTAGTTTTTTTCAAACTATTTTTTTTTTAATGATTCAAAGAGCTCATCGGCCTTATGTTGAGCGTGAGGTCGTAGACACTATAAATGCCACCGCTCACTTTGAGACGTGAGGTCCGGGTCTGACTTGTATGATGGCTATCGGTTTCTTTATAAGCGACACAGGCAGAGTTACCCTTTCGTTACACGATCTTATTGCTTCATAATGGAACTTATTTGTGATCTGAATCAAATGCGTACTTCATTGGAAAAATGGTACCGGTTTTTTTTTATTGCTTAGATGGGGGGACGAGCTCACAGCCCACCTGGTGTTAAGTGGTTACTGGAGCCCATAGACATCTACGACGTATATGCGCCATCCACCTTGAGATATAAGTTCTAAGGTCTCAAGTATAGTTACAACGGCTGCCCCGCCCATCAAACCGAAACGCATCACTGCTTCACGGCAGAAATAGGCGGGTTGGTGGTACCTACCCGTGCGGACTCACAAGAGGTCCTACCACCAGTACTCTTTCTAAACTCCTGTCTGCGTTATTTGAACAAGTTATTTGTCCTTTCCTCCTCTCCACGGTCGAGTGGTTCGCGAGACGCTAGGTCTAAATATTAGTCAACCAGTTCAATATGTGATAAGGTAGATTTCTGAAATTGGTATCTACTTCAAAGGTATTTTAATATTTTAAATATCTTTTATATGTAAATTGCTTATTCATTATGTGTAAAGAAGGAACATTTTTAATTTTTTTCTTTTTTTTTAAATCTATATATTAATACGTGAAGCAAAAACTTTGTATCCCTTTTTACGAAAATTGCGCGGACGGAGGAGTGTGAAATTTTCCACACTTATAGAGAATATAGAGAAGAAGTGCACAATGCTAATTTTTTTTTTTTAAATAATGCATAAAAGATACATTAAATCAATAAAGAAAACATTACACACACTACATACCATGTATTTGACGCACACACGCATGCATACTATTTATTGTCAAACTTTTGTTCTTGACGTCTGTTGTCAAATTGAGAATAGATTAAGTATTGTTTGTCTTTGTTAATATTTTTTATAGTGTAGTCTTGGCGAAATTTGTGATTATAGAAGTATGAAATACAATCATAATAGTGTACAAACTTACAATTCCAATTAATTATAGTCGAATTTCGACTACTGCGGGACCTCTAGTAATTATTATTATATTATAATACATTGTGTATTAATTGTACACATACATACATATATACGTAGATATACATATATATGTATGTATGTGTACATATATGCATAATATGTATTTCACTGGATTGGTACACCGCGCGCAGTTCGTTTCCAAATGATTCTTGTCCACCTGATGGTTGTCTGGAAGAGATCGCTCTTAGCGATAAGACCGCCAATTGTACTTTTTTGTGTTTAATGTATCGCACTGTTTATTTGGTTTTTGGTGTACAATAAAGAATACTCTCTCTCTCTCTCTCTCTCTATTCTCTCACTCTCACTCCTACTAAATCATATCTTTTCTCTCTAGCCGTAACGAATCTGTCGCGAGTTAAATTTCACTCTCAATGCCCCTAAAGAATGCGCCTATTATATGTATGTATATATGTATATGTGATTGTGTATATATATATTTATATTATATACTTTTTTGTGTATGTATTTGTAACTTAACATAAATTTCATTGCACCTACCACTATTCACTCTGCACTACCTTTGGTTGACTGGTAGAGAAAGCCTTAGGCATTAAGTCCGCCAATGTAAATTTTACATGAAGTGTAATAGTGCATAAATAAATAAATAAAGAAGTTTCACTTCAAAAAAAAAAAGCAATGAAATTCAAATAATTTTCAACTAGCCATTTAATTCTTTCAATGTTCCTTACAAATTAATTACAGAGCGCTTTTGTGAATTCGCAATTAAATTTTTGTACACCTGTTCATACGTTAATATTATCAGTCATTTATATTATTAGCATGTTAATGTCATTAGCGACTCACACACACACACACACACACACGTGCATTTACACACACACATGCGCACCTACACGTGATAATGATGCGATAAAACAAAACGGAAATCGGTCAAGGTTATTGTAATTTGTTGAACAGTTTTCGCTTCATCGAATAGCGTATGTGAACCGTATCTATATAAGCAATTGAGACGTTTTTTGTTTGGACCTGTGAGGGTCGGTTTTCAGAGCTCATTCACCGAAAAAACAATTGAATATGCAACTTCGAAAAGGGCACATGTCGCATATCTTGTCAAATACGTTTTTTTCATATACATGTAGTTTTGAGGCTTACCTCCTCCTCCTCGAGTCGTGTTTCTCATGTCTGAGGGTCGTGACCACCATCACCCATGAGCTTCAATCTTAAGATGTTTTTCCACTTTCCCCTGTCCACGGCGTCATGCAGCGCGCCGTACACTGTACTGTCCAAAGCGGTGCGGATCTGATCGGACCAACGAGTCTGGCTGCGGCCTCTAGATCTGTTGCCTTCAACTTTCCCTGTGATCATAAGTTTTTCCAGGTTATCGCCGTCTTTCCTCGCAATGTGACCAAAATATTCGAGGATCCGCTTCAGACATACAGTAGACAGTCTGATTTTGATGCCCAGTTGCTTCAATATCGACACGTTAGTCCGGAAGGCTGTCCACGGAATTCTTAGCATGCGTCTCCAGCACCACATTTCGAGGCTTACCTACCTACACACCAATTTTATAATAATTCCAGTGATTTTCAATTACTAATTAACACTAAAATATATCTCAAAAGTTAATATCGTGTCGTTAATGAAGTCGTCGTGGCCTAAAGGATAAGACGTCCGGTGCATTCGTATGTAGCGATGCACCGGTGTTCGAATCCCGCAGGCGGGTACCAATTTTTCTAGTGAAATACGCACTCAACAAATGTTCACGATTGACTTCCACGATGAAGGAATAACATCGTGTAATAAAAATCAAACCCGCAAAATTATAATTTGCGTAATTACTGGTGGTAGGGCCTCTTGTGAGTCCGCGCGGGTAGGAACCACGGCCCTGTCTGTTTCTGCCGTGAAGCAGAATTGCGTTTCGATTTGAAGGGTGGGGCAGCCGCTGTAACTATACTGAGACCTTAGAACTTATATCTCAAGGTCGGTGACGCATTTACGCTGTAGATGTCTATGGGCTCCAGTAACCACTTAACACCAGGTGGGTTGTTAGCTCGTCCACACATCTAAGCAATAAAAAAAAAATAAAAAAAATTTTACTCTTTGCTTTAGAAAATAATCAGTTTTTTTTTCATTTCCTGAACATTTTCAGAGATGTGCCCTTTTCGAAATTGCATATTCAATTGTAAAGTATCGAGCAAATAGAACAAATAATTAAAGAATTCGAATTGACATTAAATTGGATTATTCATTTACTAGATAATGACCGAGCATTTCTCGGTTTTTTTTTTGATAACGCCATCTTGTTGTGTCTTTAAAGCGGTTAGTTGCTCTCAATTAAGAAAAATAGTATTATTATTCGCCAATAGATGTCGGGAAGAGTTGATTATTGAAAACACGAATAAAACAACATTTTCTTAAAAATAAATCGTAGCTAGATCGATTTATCGCCCCCGAAAATTCCCTGTATATTAAATTTTATGAAAATCGTTGGAGCCGTTTCCGAGATGCAGATTATATATACCTATTAATATACAAGAATTGCTCGTTTAAAGATATAAGATAAGATAAGACATTGAGACGTGAAAAAGTCGGGTACCATTTTTCCAATGAAGTATGCACTTGATTCAGATCACAAATGAGTTCCTTCATAAAGCAATAACATAGTGTAATGAAAGCACACTGGTGGTAGGACCTCTTGTGAGTCCGCGCGGGTAGTTACCACCGTCCTGCCTATTTCTGCCGTGAAGCAGTAATGCGTTTCGGTTTGAAGGGTACGGCAGCCGTTGTGGCTATACTTGAGACCTTAGAACTTATATCTGAAGGTGGGTGGCGCCTTTAGCGAAGTCGCCGTGGCCTAAAGGATAAGACGTCCGGTGCATTCGTATGTAGCGATGCGCCGGTATTCGAATCCCGCAGGCGGGTCCCAATTTTTCTAATGAAATACGTACTTAACTAATATGGAAGATTGACTTCCACGGTGAAGGAATAATATCGTGCAATAAAAATCAAATCCGCAAAATTATAATTTGCGTAATTACTGGTGGTAGGACTTCTTGTGAGTCTGCACGGGTAGGTACCATCGCACTGCCTATTTCTGCCGTGATGTTTCGGTTTGAAGGGTGAGGCGCATTTACGTTGTAGATGTCTATGGGCTCCAGTAACCACTTAACACCAGGTGGGCTGTGAGCTCGTCCACCCACATGAGCAATAAAAAAAAGGTACCACCGCTCTGTCTTAATTTTGATAACTGTGCGTGATTTGTTCCCAGTTATTAATATTATTGTTGTTATAAGTATTACTGTTTTGGTGTTGTGTGTCAGTGTTGGGTGGGTGTCACCATTCCATCTATTCCCGCTACGGAGTAGCTATGCGTTCCGGTCTGAAAGATAGCCAAATGTCAAAAATACATTTATTTTTATTGCCCTTGTAGGCAGACGAGCATACGGCCCACTGGATGGTGAGTGGCTTCCGTCGGCCATGGACTTCAGCAATGCCAGGGGTAGACCAAGCCGCTGCCTACTGTTAAGTACTCTCCGCAAGCCTCGTTTGAAGAAGGACATGTCATAGCGCTCGGGAAACACCGTGGAGGGGAGTTCATTCCAAAGTCGGAACTGTCGATGTCCATGGACTACGACGACAATCAGGGAGATAGTGGCTCGATTGCACTTAAATTCTAAAGAAAATTGTTTTATCACAGTATTTTTTTTTTTGTTTCAGATTGCGAATACTATTTAATAAGGATACTTATACATATATATATAAAATGAGGAGTGATAGGCTGTTTGGTTCAAGCAACATTTCGCTTAACACGCGCCATTTATCTTTGTAATTAAAGGTCCGTTTTATTTGGTATCAGCATCAACGGTTCAATGTTTTTAATTGAACTTCAATTAAGTTTATTCCATAGAAATAGCTGAAGTGGTTTTTTTTCGGTTCGTTACGATATTTCTTACAAATACCAAACTTTAAATTGTGGACACTGGACGATTCACTCAAACAGTCTTCTTAGCAAAAAAGGGGTTTCAAAGAAAGCCACATAAAACGAACCTCCAAGTGAATTTATTAATAATATAACATTTGAGTTCATTGAACATTTGCAAAAGTCTGTGGCGCGGGGCAACATTACTAGTATTGTTATCTATTGGCGACAATCATCACATAATATGTGAATTCCTTTTTTTTTTTAAACCTAAGCTGATAACCTTGAGATGCCATTTAACCCCAACAAGTGGTTGAGTTCACGGGGCTCAAACCTGACGACGTTGTTAACACTGGCCCTAGCAAGAGCAGTGCTTCGCAGAATCTACCACCGGATCGGAAACGCGACCCACTGAGAAGATCCGGCGAGAAACTCAGTGGGCTGTGTGTGTCTGTGGGTTAATTTACTCGTCGAGCCCTTCGTCGCAAGCGACGGGTTCGACGAGAAAGATGACTAGGGGAAATTCTAATTAATAAGATTTCTAACAATACTAAAAAAATGGCTCCCTCCTGTAATATTGCAAAAAATTGCTTAAACCAAATAGTCTTTCACCATTCGATACATAAATAATTAAGGTTAGAACGTAATCTGTATAAGTAAAAGCTTTTTCAATGCAAAACATAACTTAAAATGCGGTATAGAAGTGATTTTGTGAGTAGCAAATGAAAAATGGCTGATTTTATTATACACGAAAACAAATCATCTCGGAACAGAGACAGTTGACTGGTACGTATTTAGATGCTCGAACAATTACTAACTACACCGGGACTTTGTAACTACCCCGGGATTTCTAACTACCCAGAATTTTCTAACTACCCAGGAATTTTCTGACTACCCGGGAATTTCCTAACTATCCCGGGATTTGAATTCCGGCAAGGTCGCATCACTCGCGATGTGTGAACGAAGTAGGCATTTAAAACACACTAGATAAAGTACGATTTTTAAACCCTTTGCGGTCTTAAAACTAATGTAAGACCATACGTCCAATGCTTTTGAATTCTGGACTTCAAAGGGTTAAAGATTTGCAAAAACAACAGCCTGTATATACATCCTGAGCTTACATGCTCGATACTCAGAGAGACTCAAATGTTCCTCATAATACAGGGTATAAGATTATTATTTCCAGAAAGAACTTCGATAATCATGCCCAATGTGAGTGGTGGCATAAATAATCACTTTTCACTTTGAATTTGAGCCCGCCTAGATGGCGCCAGTTAGAATGGGTAAGCCGAAAAGCCTGGGCTGATTCGTCTCAATTGGCCATCGGAGCCCGTGGACAACAACACGTACGCGCTCGGACAAGATTGAACTCTCAGTTCCGTTGTAACAGTATTCGTAAATTTAGTACGTCATCGTGATAGCTATGTAGCTTCGCAAGCTTTTCCAATTGTAATTTTAAGTTGCATCAATTATCGCAACTCCAGAGACATATGGCCGGATGTCCGTTGTTTGAACTTTAATTGTATCACATTTCATTATCTTGTATATTAAATTGTCGTATCGCGGTGTTTGTTGCCAAACTCTAAATCGGAAATGGCTCGACCGATTCTCATGAAATTTCCCGCATAGACGCAGCCCACTGAGTTTCTCGCCGGTTCTTCTCAGATCCGGTGGTAGATTCTGCGAAGCACTGCTCTTGCTAGGGCCAGTGTTAGCAACACTCCCGGTTTGAGCCCCGTGAGCTCACCTACACGTCAAGGCGAAGCTGAAATAGCCTGAAATTTTGTGTGCACATCAGGTAGGTCTGAGAATCGGTAGCTGAAAAGGGGTTTGGGCCACCAGTAATGAATCTATTAAAAAAAAAATTGTATGACTTATGATCCCCGATCAAATCGTTCTCTAAGCTATCGTCTCGAGAAACCGTGAAAAAACGCTTAACAAAACCACGTATTTTTTGCTAAAAACCGCATCACCCGACCATAAGTCTCCGATGTTGAGATTTCGCTTTTTTTTTTATTATCTTAGTATTTTAATTTAAAACCGAAAAAAACACCTTGACCGGATTTTGGCTTCGAAAATGAAGGAGCTTAGCGCGATTTTTCAAAAGCAATAAAGTCTCTCTTAAGCTGGGTACTCACCTAGCTGTGTAGCATGTAACGTAACAGATACTGTATCAACCTGCAAGTGGGTACGGCTGGTCCACGGTCCACAGCGTATCTAGCTACGAGCTGCCACGAGCACACTGCGAGCCGCCTTTGGGTTCGCAGCTTGCTCCGCTCCTTCCGCGAGCGGCTCGCAGCGGGCTCGTGCCTACGTACTCACTGGATACAGTATCTGTTACGTTACGTGCTAGACGGCTAGGTGAGTACCCAGCTTTATAGCCTCTATGAAGATGATATTGATAAACATTACCATACTCATCTCATATACGAAACTAATCCATAGGCACAGCCAAATAGTTTCTCGCCAGATCTTCTCAATGGATCATGATTCTGATCCGATGGTAAACATGCATTGTTAGAATTCAGAAATATAGAGACAGGTTTGACTTAATCGATGTAAATTCTCAATCACAAATTCGTATTGTTTATGATTAAGGATTGCATTGATTAAAGGACCATATCGAGGGGTGTTTGGTCCAAACGACATTTCGCTTAACACGCGACATTTATCTTTGTAATTAAAGGTCCGTTTTATTTGTTATCAGCATCAACAGTTCGATGTTCTTAATTGAATTAAGTTTACTTTATTCAAATACCTGAAGAAGTTTGTTTTGTTATGATTGTTTTTTTGCCAAATTTTAAATAGCTCGCTCTCCTGTAAAGTTGCAAGAATGTCGCTTAAAAGAAATAAGCCCCTTGATGTGTGTATTTGATACAATAAAATCGTCGTCGGATAGAGATAGAGATGGTTTTTTATGTTTGAGAGATTACTGGTGGCCCGGAGGCCTTTCCAGTTTCACCAAAACAGGTGGGTGAGCAAGGGCTCAGCCAGGAGGGGTGGGATTTGCTAACTACCCGAGCGCCTCCAAAGGAGATCTAACAACTCAAGAGCAGCTGCTTCGCGAATGAATCTACTACCGGATCGAAATCGCGACCCACTGCGAAGATCCGGCGAGAAACTTAGCGGGCTGATGCTTAGGTTAGGTTGCACGTTCAACGCTTTGTCGATTTCGACGAGTACGGTTACCGGGGTCCCTACTCCTAGTGTTAGAGCTAAAAGATAGATTCTTGGTTATCGTTAGATAAGCGTGTCCGCTGTTTTTAGAACGCCAAAATCTGGTCGACTTAATTATAATTAATCTATCGTATTTTTAAGTTAAAATAAAAATGTATTGCAATTATTTCATAACCATATTAAACTGGGCTATGTTGTTGAAACAATGTTCGTTCGATCGTAGGTTTTATTGCAATTGAGGATATCAGCGCAAAACTGGTCTAACCCACGATTCATATTCGTGCTTATGTATGTATTGCAATTTATTTAAAACATAATAAATTTTGATGCAAAATCGGTTCAATCCCTAGTTTCATCCATAGATAATAGAGGCCTTTGTGAACATCATTTTAGCGCGTATTATTTTGCCTACGAGGTATTTATTGTAATGATAAATTCGAACCTCATTATCTCCATACTATGGTAAGTTTAGGCCACTTTTGCGCTGACCGCCTCAATCATGGAGGGTAGAAATAGGGAACACCATTTGAGTACCATCTGATGTATAAGTCTATGTTGAAAGAAAGCCAATTAAGATGGCGCCACTGTAGCAAGTGGAAGGATTTTAAAAACAGCGCTATAAACTATTAGAGCAGGATAAATTAAGAAGGAAAGAAACACTACCTCAGTTTAATTGGTTATAGTGTATTATTTTATTCACATCAAAATAATGTTTAGTCCAGTAAAACTATAGCACAAACTGAGTTTTATTTGGCATCAGCATCGACAGTTCGATATTTCTAATTCAATCAAGTTAACTCCATTCAAGTATCTGAAGGTGTTTTTTTTTCGAATTTTAAACAATAAACGGCCCTCCTGTAAAGTTGCAAAAGATGTCACTTAAACGAAATATCCTTTCAGCCCTCGATATAAAAGTGAAGGTACCTTTGACTGTTATTGGGGGAATTCCCGGAAAGTATTTTGTTTTTGAATATTTGAGTCGTCTATTATCAAAGGTGGCAATCTGTGCATTTGGACAAAAAAATGTTATTGATATGTCAATACAGATTGATTTGAATATAATCGTCTCCTTCAAAGAATATGGTTCAAAACCTGCATTAAATAAAGGTTAATATTTAACCTGTTATTTATCTAAGATGTCGTTCAGAAGAGTTTTGTGACTGCCAATGGAATACAAAGTCAATAATTCGTTTTTCTGATTTACCAATAATTGTCCAAAAGTCACATTGCCGGCTTTGATAATAGTCGACTCATTTATTTTTCTGCGGCCCTCCGGTTTTTGTAGTAAATTTAATTAGCCCGCAAATGTATGTAGCTTGGACGGTTTTGTCTAGTTGATCAGACGCTTTCGAAGTCGAAGAAAATTATGTTCAAAGATTCCTTTACATACAGACATGCCGAGCTAATAAAAGCATACTAAAAACTTGGCTTGTATATTCAAATTGAACAAAAAAATATATTTTATTGTTCAACTCTGCGACCCTATTTCTATAGGACTAAATATAAAACATTGATTAAAGAGAAAATCAGAATTGTCTATGCTTTTACGTAAAAGAACCGAGAACTTGGCAGATTGACTGCGCGCGTTCCTGCAATATAATTCTTTGTAATTTATTACGATCGATTTAGTAATTAAGTCTAATGTTTTACCGAATTAAGTAAATAATAATAATAATCGAAATATATAAATATATTTTAGTAATTAAGTGTTTTGTTTTATTTCTCGCACACAGGAGGAGAGATTCCGTCGATTTAAGTCGTCGTGGCCTAAAGGATAAGACGTCCGGTGCATTCGTATGTAGCGATGCACCGGTGTTCGAATCCCGCAGGCGGGTACCAATTTTTCTAATGAAATACGTACTTAACAAATGTTCACGATTGACTTCCACGGTGAAGGAATAACATCGTGTAATAAAAATCAAACCCGCAAAATTATACTTTGTGTAATTACTGGAGGTAGGACCTCTTGAGAGTGCAGACGGGTAGGTACCACCACCCTGCCTATTTCTGCCGTGAAGCAGTAATGCGTTTCGGTTTGAAGGACAGCCGTTGTAACTATATTGGGACTTTAGAACTCATATCTCAAAGTGGGTGGCGCCATTTATATTTGTAGATGTCTATGGGCTCCGGTAACAACTAAATCAAGCGAGCCGGGAGCTCGTCCACCCAATTAAGCAACAAAAATTATTTTCTTTTCCTACCTAGCTGATAGCCTTGAGAGGCTATATCAGCGTAACCTTAACTAGTAGGTGAGCTCACGGGGCTCAAATCGGGAGTGTTGCTAACACTGGCCCTAGCAAGAGCCGTGCTTCGCAGAATCTACCACCGGATCGGAAACGCGACCCACTGACAAGATCCGGCGAGAAACTCAGTGGGCTGTGTCTGAGAGTTAATTCATTCGTCGAGCACTGTGCACTATTTAAGTTAGAAAAAATAACACGTTTTATTTTTTTTCGAAAATATTTATTTTATCAGGCGTTATGAAAGACACTCTTCTTTTTCTTCTCCCGCTTCCGCTGCTCCCTCCTCTTCCTCGTCTTCTCCGTGCTGCGAAGGAGCTTCGCTATGGCCGCGTCCGTGTCTTCCACCACCTCGGTGCTGCCCTCCAGCGAGGGTTTGGGTCTCTTGCTGACCGGTCCGGGGTCCCTGTAAATGCAGAACTTCTATATTTAATCGGTTGCTTAATTTCAACTATAGCGACACTGAAATTTCATGTTAAGAGTAACGCCATCTATTGCCAAATATAGAAGGATCTAGTATCGTCTGAAACGTTCGAGAAGTACAACGCCATCTAATGTCATATAGCGGAAACACACAATACTCGACTTTTGTGGAATATTCTCGATAATTCTAGGGATGTCATATCGACTATAAAAGCGTTGCAGAGATGGCACGGAGTCAGTCAATGATCGGATCTTTTATATATTTATTTATTGCTTAGATAGGTGGACGAGCTCACGGCCCACCTGGTGCTAAGTGGTTACCGAAGCCCATAGACATCTATAACGTAAATGCCGCCATTAACCCTTGAGACATGAGTTGTAAGGTCTCAGTATAGTTACAACGGCTGCCTCGCCCTTCAAACCAAACGCATTACTGCTTCACGGCAGAAATAGGCGGAGCGGTGGTACCTACCCGCGCGGACTCGCAAGAGGTCCTACCACCAGCCTCAAGATGGGCTTCGACCTTGAGAAAGCTACAGAAGCGACGGGAGTGACATTCCTCACCCAACAGTCTCCATTGTTTCAAAGATGGCGTCCATGTCGTCAGCGGGTTCAGTGACGTCATCGACTTCCCTCTCGCTCTTCGCCTTCCTCAGAGGAGTTTCCGTCTCTGTCTGTACCAGGATGCAAGACGGCTTCGAAGTTAAATATTGCTGCGGGAGAGATGTGACGGTAGTATCATTAGAAAATCCACTGGGACTGAAGCTAAATTGTATGTGGTGTAGCTAATGTAGCTAAATTTTCACTTATAGCTTAAATGGGTGGACGAGCTCACGGCCCAACTTATGTTAAATGGTCATCGAAGCCCATAGATATCTAAAACGTAAATGCCGCCACTCCCCCATAGTTTTACAGTACAACGACTACCCACCTTTCAAACCGAAACGCATTACTGCTTCACGGCAGGAATAGGCAGGGCGGCGTATAGGTCAATTTTGGCAGGATCGTGAGGGTAGCTAGTTAGGACAGCACACAAACGATCTATGACCCGGAATTTTATTGTGAGCTTCTTAAAATTTTTCATTTATTTATTTATGACATGTCCTTCTTCAAACGCGGCTTGCGGCGAGTACTTAACGGTAGGTGGCGGCTTGGCTCTGCCTTTGGCATTGCTGATGTCCATGGGCGAAAACTATAATAATAATTGACCAACCACCCAACTGAGTCGTTACAAACAAAGTATATGACGAATGGAGCACTTGGCACCGTGAAGAAAATCGCGGTTTGTGACGTCACCGCGACATAGGTGCGGGCGCGTGCGAAAGAGACAACGATAACTTTGCAAGCACCTTCTTAAATCATTCTTAAATTTTATGTTTAAGACATTCTCGATTGCTATGAGGGTATACACACATAAATATATGAAAAATTAACACTATAAAGTAGGGTACAGTCTTTTGGTTTTTATTGCCCACCCGGTTATAAGTGGTTACCGGAGCCCATAGACGTCTACAACGTAAATGCCGCCACCCACCTTGAGATATGAGTTCTTACATCTCAGTTTTTACAGTACAGCGGCTGCCCCGCCCTACAAACCGAAACGCGTTACTGCTTCTGTACAAGACGTCCTACCACCAGTAAAAAGTGATCTAATGGTAGGGGACCGTGAGCAGCCGTGAGCATTATCCTCGGAGGTACCTTATGAACGAGTTCCTTGTCGCTGTATCGGTGCACGTATAGATGTCTGTCCAGGGAGGTACTGAGCACGCGGCCGCCCCCCGCCCCCGCGCCCGCCCCCGCGCCCGTCACCGCCCCTGCGCCCCCCTTGTACCCCTTGTCGGGGCGCCCGTGACGCAACTCAACCTGCCGGAGCTGTCCCCGCGCGAATCCCACCAACGCCAGACTGAAACGTGCCAGTCAGGGGTACTTACGTGTTAGTAGGAAATCTTGTGAGTCATCGCGGCTAAGCACCACCAAATAAATAAGTCAGTGTGGTATGGACATGACTCGTCTTCTCGCATTAAAACCGTGTACAATCTCAAAACTAACTTAATTTTACAGGAGAGTGTTTTAAAGGTTTAACATTTGATGTTTTTAATATTGTTACGCCGGTAAGAATAACGCCATCTATCACCGAGTAGTCGAACGAATATCGAAGACTCCCTGAATGCTCGAGAATTACAACGCCATCTATGGACAGATAGCGGAAACTACGACTAGAGAAGTGCTATGTGAATATTCTCGAAGATTCTAGGGATGAGGTATCGGCTGTAAAAGCGTTGTAGGGATGGCACACAATCAGTCAGTAATCGGAACTACTCGAAGCGAACACAGCGAACGGATCATCCGAAGCGAAGCGGAACAAGCGAATTGAGTGTTTTAAAGTGTTTGTAAAGTATTTTAAGTGTTGAATACAGTTTTTAAGTTGTACTTTGGTAAAATTTTATTTATCCCGAACCCTCAGCGCTTAACAATATTAATCATCATCTTGCCAACATAATTTTTTTATTTTTTAACATTATCTGTTTTTTTAAAGTATGATAAAATTATGTATTTATATTTTGACAGTATTTATGAGAGAAATACCAAATGATTCCGATTTTTTATTTTTTTTATTGCCTTTGTAGGCAGACGATTGTATTAACTCAATTTCGAATATATTTGTAAATTGTACACTTTTAATGCGAAAAGACGATGTGATGCGTAGAGAGAAGATGCATGTGACTAGGAGATGTATGGAAATGGTAGTGCAAGGTAGAGGAAGAAGAGGTCGACCGAAGAAGACGTGGATGGAGTGTGTGAATGACGTTGTGAGAGAGAGAGGAGTGAGTGTTGAGATGACAGCTGATAGAAGAGAATAGAAGAGAAAAATTAGCTTTGCCGACCCCACTTAGTGAGATAAGGTGGAGAAAAAGAAAAAGAAGATGAATTAGTAAATAATTAATACTGGTAATAATTATTGTCTTGTGAGTCCGCGCGGGTAGGTACCACCACCCCGCCTATTTCTGCCGTGAAGCAGTAATGCGTTTGCGGTTTGAAGGGCGGGACAGCCGTTGTAACTATACTGAGACCTTAGAACTTACTTCTCAAGGTGTGAGGCGCATTTACGTTGTAAATGTCTATGGGCTCCAGTAACCATTTAACACCAGGTGAGGCTGTGAGCTCATCCACATATCTAAGCAAAAAAAAGGAAAAAAAGGAAAGGAAAAAGAAAGGAAAGGAAAAAAAGGTGTCCCCATTACCGCGTGCTGATGCTGGGCGCGATGCAAGTGGCGGCCAAGTCGAAGGTCACGTTCTGAACCGGCCTCCTTTGCGAGCGAGTGTCGTACAATCTGCGGACAACGGACGCGACTTATCGGACTGCGATAACGCGGACTCTGACTTAATTGAGGACATCAACGCAAAAGTGGCGAAGCACCCAAAAATTTTTATATTCAAGCTTATGTGCTTAGCTTAATTTATTTAAAACTAGCTGACCCGGCAGACTTCGCCTCAATCGATAGATAAAAGACCTAAGCTTTTGTCTATACTAATATTATAAAGACGAAAGATTTGTTTGTTTGTTTGTATTGAATAGGCTCCGAAACTACTGAACCGATTTGAAAAAATCTTTCACTGCTTGGAAGCTACACTATCCCTGAGTGACATAGGCTATATTTTTTGTTTTTTAATTAGGTATCCTTAATAAAACTCCAACAATGTAACCAAAGGTGTACAAAAATATTCTTTACATCGCGTGCGCTGCGAAAACTATTGATCATAGAATAAAATAATATACTATAACTTTGTAGAATACATTATTATTTACAAAAAGTGTGGCGACAGCATATGTCTGACTATTATAGTTATGCCACAATAAGTGTTCAATTATTTAAAAAAAAAAAATAACGTCAAATATCGTTTACAGGGTAGCTTTTTTATAATTGTGGGTTTACTGGTATAAAATAAACTTAAAACAAACAAAAGTAATCCATCCGACGGGGGACACATCAAAGGAAAAACAAAATTGTTATTTTTATTTAATTTCGAGCATTTTCATATTTATCTATAATTCAAGACCAAAATTAGCCAAATCGGTCCAGCCGTTTTCGAGTTTTAGTGAGACTAACGAACAGCAATTCATTTTTATTTATATAATAAATTTTGATGCAAAACTGGCCTATCCATAGTTTCACCCATAGATAACAGATAGCTTTGTAAAGATTATTTTTGTTAGTGGGTACATCCCTATTAAGAAGCTGTATGTAGCACGACACTAGTATAAAAAAGGATATAGAAGAGTAGCGTCATAACACGATGGTCTCTAAGAAAATATAAAAACAGTAAAACCAGTAATGTCCAGTTAAATAAATAATATATATTAATAAAAGGTTTGTTTTCTCTCGTCTGAGCATCTCCACACCCTTCAGGTTATGGGCCCAGGACCCGAGACTGCTCAGACAGGACCCGAGGCTGTCAGACAGAACCAGAGAATCCAGAACCAGGACCCAAGACTACTCAGACAGGACCCGAGACTGCAGACAGAAGCGGAGACTGCCCAGACAGAACCAGAGACTGTACAGAACCAGAACCAGGCTGCCCAGAGTGAGAAAAGTGTATAAAAAATTATTAAAACAAAATGAATAACCAAGAAGAAAATGTAGAAAAACTTACGAACTCTGAAAATTTTCACATCTGGAAATTTGAGATCAATATACATGTTTCGGCATCGAATCTGTCGGAAGTGTTGAAAGAAACTAAACCAGAACAGAGAGAAAAACCAGAATTCCAAACTAAGGATGCTAAGGTAAAGAAGTTGATTTTAAACTCCATAGATAGAAAATTAAAAGGTCACATCATAAATTGCCAAAATGCACATGAAATGTACAATAAGCTATGTGCAATATTTGAAGGATCTGAAGAAAGAAACAAGTCTTCCTTATTACAAGATTTCTTTAACTTCAAATTTGAAAACCAGACAATGTCACAGTTGATCACCGATATAGAAAACTTGAGGATGAGATTAAATAATCTTAAACAAAATATTGATGATGACATGGTAATTTCAAAAATATTAACCTGCTTACCAAATCAATATAAATTCTTCATCACAGCATGGGAATCAACACCTGATGACAAAAAGACACTTACCAACTTAACTAACAGACTTTTATCAGAAGAAAACAGATTTATAGAAAGGAAAATTGAGTACAAACAGGTTGCTTTTAAGACGGAGAATAAAAACATAAAATGCTTTAAATGTAACAAAATAGGCCAT